AACCTCTGGGAAACAGCCAAAGCAGTAATCAGAGGTCAATTTATAGCAATTAGCAAACACATCAAAAGACAGGAAAAACAGACTATTGACTCTCTAACCCAATATCTCCAGCAAATTGAAAAAGAACAGCAAGAAAACCCGACACCCTTTAGAACAGTGTTTAGGGCTCTTGCACACAGGGTCACTATGAGTCGCTAGTGACTCAATGGTACATAACAACAACAACAACCATTGATTCTTGATCATATGAAATTGTTTACCATTGAAAAAAACCCTTTTTGGTACAGTGACATAGTGTTTTCTTCCATCTTCTCTATACTTCCTGAATCATTCACGATTTTGCCCATAGATACTTTCTGTATTGCAATTTGAGATTAAAAATTATTTTTCAATTCTTTCAGCCTGCAAAATGTGAAGTATTTTCTTCCTTTTGATTTTCTAACTTCAGTTCTTTGTACATTTCACTATGATTATTTTCTTTGCCTTTTCAATTTATCCTTGAAAATCTTCTATTCAACTCTCTTACTTAAGCATATCTTCTCTTTGTCTTGGCTTCACTACATTCTAGCTCAATGTTTAGAGTCTCTTCTGGCATTTATTTTGGTCTTTTCATTTTGTCCTGTCTTTTTTATAATGACTTTTTAATTTTTTCTTGGATGATATCTTTATGTCATCCCGCAACACATCTATTCTTCATTCCTTAGTGCTCAATACATCGAATCTATCCTCGAGATGATTTCTAAATTCATCTGGGCTAGATTCAAAGTCATATTTTGGACTTTGTAGACTTCTTTACATTTTCTTCCACTTCAGTTTTAATTTGCACATGAGTAATTGATAGTCTTTTCCAAAGTCAGCCCCTGGCCTTGTTTTGATTGCTGATATTAAGCTTCTCCATTATCTCTTTCCACAGAGTCAATATGAGTCTTGTGTAGTATTTTAGGTAAAGTCTATATGTATAATTGATATTTATGTTTTTAAAGACAGAAATTTTTTAAAGAAAGTATATGTAGAATTGATATTTATGTTTTTAAAGAAAGACATTTTTAAAAGAAAGAGGGCTGGGAGGGTAGAGAACTGCAGGAATGAATGAATGGAAATCCGAATTCTCTGTAAATGATCATTAAAATTATTTTTAAAAAAGAAAGACATTTGCAAGGAATAAAAACTCACTGTAAAAAATTCTATTATTTGTTCTCCAGACTCATTAAGAGATTTCCTAGTAACATGCCAGAATTCACTTGAAGGAGAGACCAGTCCTTGGAGGGATATCATGCTTGGAAGGGTAGAGGGGCAGTGCAGGAAAGGAAGACCTTTAATGAGATGGATTGATTCAGTGAATGGGGTAATTGGAGTAGGTGTGTCAGAGACAATAAGATTGGCACAAGATAGAGGAGGGTTTAGGACTGTTGTACATAGGATCACTATGAGTCATAGATGATTCAATGGAACATAACAACAACAACATCTTGATTGCATATTCAACCAATTTCAGACAACAAAAGTTAATCAAAGTCCTCAATTTCTTCACCTTTGGCTTCACTTGGTGGTGAATATGTTTTAATAATAGTTGTATTAACAGGTCTTCCTGGTATGTTTATTAATAGTATCCTATCACTCACAGCATTGTACTTGAGGATTGACTTTGAAATGTTCTTGATAATGAATTTGTTTTCAGTTTTTTATTCCTGACATAGTAAATTATCTTGTTGTCTGATTCAAAGTGGACAATGCTAGTCTATCTCACTAATGTCTAGGATTTTGATTTTTATGTGTTCCCTTTTCTTCTTGAAAAATTCTGTTATTCCTTCATTCATACCTTATACATTTCTTGTTCCATTTATTAATGGATGTTTGCAGCTGTTTCTCCTCATTTTAACTGTTTTCTAATCTGAGAGACACTGCCTCTGGTATTATATTTAATAGTGTTCCTCTGTTATCCATTCCTTTTATTTCAGAAGTTGATGGCTAATCCTGCTTCTTCATCTATTTTAGTCTGGAAATTCCACTGAAACTTGCTCACCATAGGTGACCTTGCTGGTATTTCAAATACCAATGGCATAGCTTTTTTCAGCTTCACAATGACCCAAAAGTCACCCCAGTACAGCAAATTGACACATAAGTACTGTACTTATAAAAACAAATTATAAAACAAGCAAGCATATGAATATCAAACAAACATGTATGCTGTGGGAAATAGAAAACAAACTAATCTGACACAATGTATCTTCCAGCCCAGCAGAAATTCAGACTTGTGATGCCCAGTCTAAACCAAATTCATTGCCATTAAATCAGAACCCACTGATGGCTGACTACTCTACAGTGGTTTTTTAGAGACTGAAAATTTTACAGGAAGAGATTGCCCATCTTTCTTTCAATGAGGAAGCTGGTAGATTCAAATGACCAGAAAGGGGCCACCTTTAGAAGAACAGTACAGCTTCTTATGGACTACACCACCAGAGCATTTATGTTGCTACTATTGTTGTTGTTTGATGTAGAGTTGTAATCAACCCATAGCTTACTCTTCTGTGGGTTTTCAGAAGCAGTAAATCACACAGGAGGAGAGTGTCCATTCTTCTTCCACAGAGCAGCTGGTAGAATAGGGAACAGTGTGCCTTTGGGATTACAGTGCAGCTTCTCATCACTAGACCGCCACAGCACCCTAAGTTGCTGCTTGAAAATGTAACATTTCACCTGTAGCTTACATTATATTTCTCTTGAGAGATGCTAGCTGGAACCTTGCTCATCCCCATGTCCCCTGAACTTTAGAGTATACTGTAAGTATACTCTAAAGTGCCAGTATACTCTAAAGGGAAATAACACATGAGAGCCACTCATGAATTTAGACTAGGGTTTCTTTTTATTTGTTTTTTGTTTTAGTTTTTGTTTTTTAAAGAAACGTGTTTAATTGGATGATTTCCGTAACTATACACAAAGTGTCCAACCATCACCATTCCAGTGAAGTACAAAACATTAAGTTACAGGATGTGGGAACAAAAGGTGCACCAAGGTGGCAACTTTCTATCCTGGTTGCTTCTAGGGTAGGGAGTAAGGTCTTTTATTTTTTAAAACCAAGCCCCTCATTTCAATGTACAAAAAAATTCCTCTGATTTGATATTAAACTGTATTGAAACAAAATGGACTAAAAAGCAAATACTACTCTATGTTGGAGTAGAGGTGGGGGGAAAGAATGAGTCCTTCAAAACAGGAGGGGAGGGAGGCAGCTGGAGGAAGGTTCTGTGACTAAAACCCCAAAGGGTCACTCAGGATGCTCATTTTTTACTTTTAGTGGTCTCAGGAAAGTTTGATTTTTCTTCTTTCTTACCTTTTATGTTTTCTTGGAAATTTAGCCAGCTAGCCACATGACCATCTTGACTTTCCTCAAAGTTTTTCTGCCACTCCCTCTCTCATTTGGCTTTTTCTTGGACTTCAATCTCTTCTACCCTTTGTCGCTTCCTTTCATACATCTCTTTGGCTTCTCTTTCTTTTCTTTTAATTTACAGTTCAGCAAAGAGCTCCATGGTCTGTTTGTATACTGCCTGTTTCAACAGCTCAGGATCATCTTCCACATTTGTAGTCTTCCCTTCTTTCTTTAATTGCTTTATTTGCTCTTTTACAGTGTGTTGCACATATTCTTTTCCTGCCTGAATTACATACAGGGCCCTCTTCTTTTGTTCCTGATCCAGTAGCAACATGTAAGTTTTGTCCACAGCTTCTAAGTCCTTTTGTGCTTGATCAGCATCATCCTGATTTTTTGTCAGGATGCACCAAAATAGATAACTCAAAGGGGCTCAAGCTGAAGTAGGAGGAACCAGGACGGGTCTATCTTTCAATTTGATTTTTGGATGTTAAACCAAATCTCTCTTCTCTAATTGCTTCACCTCACTGTAGAAGATCATAAACACATCCTCTGTGCTGCCTCTGCCACTCCACCTGAAGCCCCGCTTTCCCCAGAACCTGCCATTTCTCCAACCCAGCCACCTAGACTAGATTTTAATTGTCAGGTTTTATTGTGGGCTCTGTACCAATTAATGATAACAATAATAAAATACTACAGCTTTGGCCATACAGATTTTAAAGTCTTCAGCTTTTATTCTTTTCTGTTTGTTTTCCCCATCATAATCTTGGTAATATCAGATGAGATTGTGTAGCTAAATGTACTTCTCTGATGAAGCAGTCAGTAGAAATGTTAGGAGCTCTCAGAGGAATTGCTGATGTAGTTGAAGACACATGGCATGTATCATTTCAGTGGCTGGATTTGAAGCAGGTCTTTTCACCAACTATCTAGTTTCCTTGTTTTTCTGAGCCTTAGTTTTTATACTTATAAAGTGAGAATACCTGTCTATGATGCTGAAACAGGAACAGTTTGTATTCAAAGCTGTGCCATATTCCATACATATGAAGAGAGAAGAGGGAGTTAACTTGCACTGAACACAATGTTCCGGGAGAAATGACCTCTGTCCCAATTAATTTTTTTACCACACAATAAAATGAGGTTTAGATAAGGAAAATTAATAGTCTCAAACTTTGCATAGGCATAAAGATCAGAATTTGAGCCTAGATTTTTTTAAAAAAATGTGTTGCAACATGTATTTACTCCCAGTTCTGACTTTTCATTTTTAGGTGACTTATACTGACTAGTTGATCTTTGATCTTAATAACATAATTAATTCAGTGAACATTTTTAGCAAGTTCTGTGTGCCCATGGCTGGCAAGAATAAATGAAATGTCCATGACATACTGAACTACTATATTCTTTCTTCTCAGAAAGTTCGATGGCTCCAAGGAATCCTCTTATTCCTCTTGATATTGAAAAGCACTTACCTTCTCAGCACTCCAAGGATATTGGTCTACAGCTTCTTCACACAGTATCACTCGTTCTCCAGAATCATCATGTCTGGGGTAAGAACTCCCCACGCTGTTATATTAATTAGCTAGTGTTATATTTAAATGTCATCTAGTCAATCCATAGCCACCCTTTGAACAATAGGTCAGAACCTTGTCCTTACTGCATCTTTCTCACAATCTCCACCATGTACATTGTTGTGATCACTGTGCCATTCATTTTGTTGAAGATTTTCCTCTCTGTCACTGGCCTTCCACTTCTCCCGACATGGCATCTTTTTCTAAGAATTTGCACCTCCTAATAATATGCTCCAAGTATGTGAGATGAAGTTTCACTATCCTTGCCTCTAGGAAGTACTTCTTGTTGTACTTCTTCCAGGATAGACTTGTTCATTATTTTGGCAGTCCATGGGATATTCAGCACTCTTCTCCAGTACCACAATTCAAAGCTAGTAATTCTTATTTGGTCTTAATTATTTTTGTCCAACTTTCACACACATGTGTAGCAATTGAAAATACTTTGGGTTGGGTCAAATGCACCGTAGTCTTTAAACTTACTCATTTGATCTCTACTAAGGTCCTTGACAGCAGATTTTCCCAATATAGCACATTTTTTTACTTCTTAACTGCTGCTACTGTGATACTGATTGTGGATAATCCAACCAAACTAGATTCACCTTTTCAGTTTTCAAGGGAGAGAGAGACATTTTGAAAGATAAAATGAAGATCTAGAATTTCAGAATTTTAATCCATTATAGTATGGTTTTATATCACTGACCACAGTAGTTACATGATAAATTATGTTTACAGCATTTTAAATAATAATTTGTTAAATACTTTCTTTGCAATAAGGCCATTTGGTGACTTATGTTAATGTACAGGTTTAATGTCCAGGGCTACTAACCTCCAGATCAGTTGTTTGAATCCACTAGCCACTGGGCAAAAGAGAGATGAGGCATTCTGCTTGTGTAAAGATTTACTTACTCAGAAACCTGTGGGGCACTTCCACTCTGGCCTAGTAGGTTACCATGACTCATTGGCAGTGGGTGCTCTGCATTATATTTCGCTATGGCTTATTATTGTTATTTATGAAAGTTACTATTAACAATTAATGAGTGTTTTCTACATGCTAGATAATGATGCCCAAATCCTCTAAAATATTGTTTCATTTAATTATCACCACCAAAATTTGGGAAGATGCTGTTCTTTGTTAGAGGTAAGGAAAGGAGGCTAAGAGAAGCAAAGACATTCATTTTGCTGACATAGTCAGGCAGTGCACACTTCCTCATTTGGGTTCTGGAGAAGCCTCTCTCTAATGCCCTGCTCCTTTCTCCTATAACTCTCTGCTTCCAAGGCATTCCAAGCATGGAAACTAAGGGTAGCCACATCCCAGTCTAAGGGTGACTTTGAAGTCCAATAAAGTAAGTGAAGCCAGGAATGTGGAGAGGCCCAGGCTACTGACAATGGTCCCTGGTGTGTGGTTAAATCTGCTTGGCCCTGGTATGTGGAAGGGTCTGACTGGAGCTACACATGTAGGGGACACCAGAGTTGCCACCTCTGCAGCAACCACAATTGTAATCAAGTGATAGATACTCTGTGTCATCGGGCCCAATTTGGGAATCTCAGAGTCCCTGACTCACCAAGGACCCCAGGCACTTGCAAGAACTCCTCAGTCCTTCTAAATTTAGCCTTGGTGAATAGGCTCTGTAAGCCAGAGAAGCAAGAGCAGGTCTTCTCAAAGGCCTTACTTCCAATCCTAGCTCTGCCTCTTCAGGACCTACCACTGAACTGTGGGTCAGGTACCATGCCTGGAAGATCGTTGCTATGTTTGAAGATTACGTGTTTATGAAATTGATTTAATTACTAAACTGGTTATTATTAAGATTATTCAAAATCAGCCACACTCATAGCAATGATGTCAATTGTGGCTCATGCTAAGATAGACTGTTACCTCTTCCTCAGCTGATGGTTGGAACTGCCAACTTTTGTTTCTTGACTAAGTGTTTAACTACTGCACCGCCAAGGCTCATTTAAAACCAAATTGTCTCATCTAGCAGCATATAAAAATGCTTTTTAGTTTAAGGATAAAATCTCTGAATATAAATAAACTGAGCCTCAATTAGCCACAGAATTCCATCTGTTTAGACATTACAAGTGCTGAAGGGCAGTAAAAGGAGAACCATGGAGCCAGTCTCTTCTACTAAGAAAAGGGGCTCATGAATCACTTGCTTTCCTCTGATTTCACAAATGTCATGATTCTGCTTCTGCTGTAAAGAACTTCAGTTGAATTCTGGCATGTTACTAGGAAATCTCTTAATGCAAGACCCGAGTTGAAGCAAATAGAATGAGGAGTCCAGCTGGACAGAATGAGTTCAGGACGGGTTCACATGCATGGCCTGTGTGGCCTGGGACAACTGACTGAATGCCTGACATCCAAATTGAGGAAATACTTGTCATTCCCAAGATGTGTGAGTGAACTGAGTGAGTGAGATTCAAGGGTCCCACATGGTAAAGCCCTGGATCTCAGGCTGTTGTCTCAGTCCATTAAAACAGTCAGGGCAATAACACGTAATAGGAAAATGAAATAAAAATAATAAGATATTTATCACAAAATTACCTTCCTCTATTTTATATCCTTGAGTTGTAGTACTTATGAATGCTGTCGGGAGAATATTGAATGACCCAGGAAGCATTAAAAAAAGAAGAAAGGAGTACACAGTCACTTAGCAAAAAGAATTGGCTAACACAGAAGAATTTCATGAAATAACATTGAACAAGAGCTTATGGTAAGGAAGGAGGAAGTTCAAGCTGCTCTGAAGTTGTTGTTGTTATGTGCTGTTGGATCACCTGCAACTCATAGTGACCCTATTTACAATAGCCCTAAACCCTGCTCTGTCCTGTGCCAAGATCATTGTCTCTGACACAACCACCCCCTTAACCCAGTCCCTGAATCATCCCACCTCATAGAGGGTCTTCCTCTCCTGCACTGTCTCTCCACCCTCCCAAGTGTGACATACTCCTCCAAGGACTGGTCCCTCCTTGCAACATGTCCAAAGTATGTCAGACGAAGCTTCAGAATTCTTGCCTCCAAGAAGCAGCCTGGTTGAGCCCTCTCCAGGATGAACTTACTCATTTTCTTAGCAGTCCATGGAATTTTCAATACTCTTCTCCAACATCACAGCTCAAAAGCATCAATTCTCCTTCTATCCTCCCTAGTCATTGTCCAAATCTCTGACACATACCAAGTGATTTCAAAGACTGTTATTGGGCACACCTTAGTCTCCAGAGTGACACCATTGCTCTTCAGTACTTTGGAGAGGTCTCTAACAGCAGACGTTCCCATCACAATATGTCTTTTAATTTCCCAGCTGATGGTGCCAAGAGTGTTGACTGTGGAGCCAAGCAAACTAAAGCTGTGAACAATCTCAATTTCTTCATCATCCATCCTGATGCTGCCAATTAGTCCAGAGGTGAGAATCTTTGTCTTCTTGTTATGAAACCTCAATACATGTTGAAGGTCCTTGACCTTCTGCAGTAGGCACTTCAGGTCCTCCTCAATTTCAGCAAGCAGAGTTGTGTTATCTACATAACACAGATTGTTGATGAATCTTCCATTAATCCTGATGCCACACTTTTCCTCAGACAGCCCAGCCTTCTGGATAATCTGTTCTGCATATAGGTTGAAAAGGTACACATCCCTGGTGTATACCCTTCCCAGTTTTGAACCATGCAGTGTTTCCTTGCTCTATTCTGATGATTTCCTCCTGGTCCAAGTATAGTTTTCACTTTAGCACAATCAAGTATTCTGGAATCCCCATTCTTCTCAGAGTCAGCCACAGTTAGTTGTTATCCACACAAACACCTTCGCATGATCAATGAAACACAGATATACATTCCTCTTGTATTCCCTGCTTTCAGCCAAGATCCATCTGACATTAGCTACAATATCTCTAGTACCGTGACCTCTTCTAAATATAGCCTAGACTTCTGTCAGTTCTCTGTTGATATACTCTTCCAGTCATTTTTGAATAATCTTCAGCAGAATCTTGCTTGCATGTGATATTAAAGACATTGTTCGATAATTTCCACATTCTGTTGTGTCACCTTCCTTTGAAATGGGAACAAATACAAATTCCAGTCAGTTGGCCAAGTGGTTGTCCTCCAGGTTTCTTGGCATAGTTTGGTGAGCACATCTAGGGCAACATCTGGTAGTTGAAATACATTAATTGGTATACCATCTATTCCTGGGGTTTTATTTTTGGCCAATTCCTTCAAAACAGCTTGAACTTCAAAAACAAGGCCTCAGGAATCAACGGCATACTGATTGACATATTTCAACAAATAGTTGCTCCCTGGACATGCACACCAATTATGCTAAGAAATCTGGAGGACAAGCATCCGGCCAGCTGACTGGAGAAGATCAATATTTATTCCCATTAAAAAAAAAAAACCCAACCTACAAAAATGGTGACCCACCAGAGTGTGGAAATTATCAAACAGTATCATTAATGCCACTTCCAAGCAAGATCCTTTCTGAAAATTATCCAAAAACTAATGGAAGAGCACATCAACAGAGAATTGCCAGATGTGTAGGCTGGGTTTAGGAGGGGCTATGGCCTGTGGCTCTAGGGATATTATAGCTAATGTTAGATGGGTCTTAGCTGAAAGGAGAGAGTACCAGAGGCATGTCTATCTGTGTTTTATTGACTATGCAAAGGCATTTGACTGTGTGGATCACAACAAACTGTGGTTAACTCTAAGAAAAGTGAGAATCCCAGAACAACAGGAGACAGTCATCAGAACAGAGCAAGGAAATACTCTGTAGTTCAATATCAGAAAAGGTGTATAGCAGGGATGCATTCTATCTCCATACCTTTTCAATCTATGTGAAGAACAGATCATCCAGGAATGTGGACTCTATGAGGAGGAATGTGGCAGCAGGACTGGAGGAAGACTTATCAACAACCTCTGTTACGCAGATGACCCTGCTTACTGAAACTGAGGAGTACCTGAAATATTTGCTGAAGAATATAAAAGATTGTAGCCTTCAATATGGA